GAGGAGCTGGGGGCGGGAGGAGGCCGGGAAGTGAGGGGCCAGTTCAGGGCGTGGGGACGGGATCGCAGGGGTGAAGCAGTGATGGGAAAATGGCACATGGGAGGGGTTGCAGGGGCAGTGATGTGAAGGCCAGGATGGGGCATTTGCTGGGGCGTGGGCGGCGGCTGGCTGTGGCTGCGCTGATTTTTTTCACCCTCCTGCGTCCCTCCAAAACAACAAATGAACCAGTTCCCCGCGTTTCCGCCTGCCAGGAACACAAGCTTCCGAAGAAAAAAAAGACACATTTCGACCCCCCCCCCCCATCCCTCGCCCTCGCCCCTGTGCAGGGGTGCGAAGGTCCGGGCGATAATCCCCATGTCCTTGCAGGAATCCCCGCATGACAATCCTGCTTACATCCACAGCCAAACAGAAATACTAGCGGTGTACACTATGCAGGGAATTCCCAATGCAACCGTCATCATGAACTGAATGGTTTGCATGCAGAAAAGCCACAACAATTGGCACGTCCAATTGCACAGCAGGAAGCAAGAGGCATTCACCATGGCTGCAGAAAATCCACGACCAATGGCATGTCAATTGCACAGCAGGCCATGAGAACAATGGGCATCACAGGCAGCAAGGATGGGGTGGGAACACCACAACAGGCACCAGCAGATAGTCTGCGATAACCAACAGATAGCAGAAGGGAGTGTGTATGACAACCAATGGAAAACGAAAGGGAATTGAATTCAACCAATCAAGCCAACAGAAGAAACCGGGAAGAAAAATCGATCAAGGGTCAGACTGAACCCCACCACACTGTGTACGCTACGTATTATTTACCCTATTGGGGTTCACAAGTTCCAACCCCACAGCCTGCAGAATGACCAGTTCATTGTCGTGGGTCCAGAGAGTCCAAACAACCACCCACCCTGAAAGCAGGACAGCCATCAGCAAAGGGAAAGCGATCAGGGGCATAACGCCCACTTACCAAATTCTGTTTTAAGAGATGTGGAAGCAGTTCATCTCCAGCCATAGGCACCAACGGCCGCGATAAAACTGGAAAGCATGCCTCAATCTACACACACACACACACACACACATACGCGCACACACACACACACACACACACAGAGTCAACACTCTACATGAACTTGTCAAAAAGCATACAACTCCTTGGATAGACGAGTCCCATCCATCCTACAGACAAATAGCTCACGCAGTTGGCAATTCATTGTTTTAATTGCTCAACCAAAAACGCGAAAAAAAGAAAACGACCTTCAACCTTCACTTCCTTCCCTCTCTCCAGTCTTTTTCCTCACCTGAATCTCGATCCCCTCTCTACGTGCTGGTACTTTTTCAGCTTGAATAGGGCCAGGTACATCCAAGAAGGTGCTAGTGTGAATGGCCCCTGCTGTCATCTTCGCCACCGAACTACATGCGACCATTATCCTCCTCGATTCATCATGTTCTGCCCAGAAATTCACTGAGGACATTATACACAAGTGAATTGCCAGGTGCTGTAGACCTGCCCCACAACACTGTCTTTTCATTGATTCAAGCGGAACACTCCCAAGCTCCCGTGGCCACAGGAAATGAGAGATTGTGTCTCAAGAGCTGGGTGGAACTGCTTGGCCTACCTTTCACGACAAGAAAGATCCAAGAGCATGATGACTTGACGGTTACGGGGAGGAGGCGAGGGCGGGAACAGGGGATAGAGCGGAAAGAGACCGACTAAAAAAAAGGAAGAAGAAGAATTACCAGACCGGAATGCTTGGCTGCCTTAGGGCATCCCCACACTAGAACCTTCTTGGATGCATTTGCCTGGGATAACGGTCTGGTTCAGTCCAAAAAAGTCCTCATCCAACTACGCACTTGCCCACCAAGTTGCCAACACCCTTGCTGATTTGGACACAGGCAGACAAATAGGAAGGCACAGAAAGACAGACACTCCTTGGGGCAACTAAGTTCGATCACATAAGAACCGATATAGACAAAGCTAACCAATGTAGACAAAGCTATTTGCACTTCATCAGGTTTCAGACCATATTCAAAAGCTGCTCAATGTGAACCGATTTCAGCAGGTCGACGAGGATGTGTCAATGCGCGAAGGGATATAGACATTTCATGCACAAGGGTTGACAAAGCCAGTGAGCACTTAGCCATGTGAGTAACCTATTTCAATAGACAGAACACCACACCACATTAGTCAAGCAGCTCCACTACCGTCTTCACCCTAATAGAACGCCCGGTCATTATAGCCGTATATGGTGCAATTTGCAGTCCAGATACTGCTATAATGACCGGGCGTTCTATTCGAGTGAAGACGGTAGTAAGTCACATGCTTCTGACTCAACTTACTACCAATTATGTATGCATTTGACTAAAGAACTTCCCCTCAATTTGCTCCGCCAAAGCTCCGTGAGACCTCTTTAATCCACCCATCGCACATTGGGCAACAACGCATGTGGCGCATGGATTGACGAGGCATGTGGGTTGACGAGGCACGTGGGTCGATGAGGCACATGGGTCGACGAGGCACATGACACAAGCTCAACCATCACACATGAGCCAAGAAGGGATGTGCATCGATGAGGCACCTGCAACAACAAGGCCTGCAAGACCACCGGAGAAGTGAACGCACGCCCACAAGGCCTGCGAGAGCACTGGAGAAGTGAACGCACGCACATGCCCCTTTCCAGTGAGTCCAGCCTGTTATGTATTTTATCTGTCGAAATCTGTTACTCACATGACTAGGGTGCTCATTGGCTTTGTCCAACATTCTCCATGAAATGCCTACATGGCTTCGCGTAACAACACATTCTTGTCGGTCTGCTGAAATCAGTTCGCATCTTCGCTAAACTGGAAATTCAAGCTGCTGAATCTGAAAACTGACAAACTGGACAGTAGACATGGCTTTATCTAAATCTAAATAGGTTCGCTTCTTTATCAAACTTACCTGCCAAAGGAGTACATATGGACTAAGATGACCTGTTGCAACTTATCGCTCGCAAAAAAAAAAAAAAAAAAGACTAACATGTGACAGCTTCACCCCGCCCATTATGGGGTTTTTTTTTTTTTTTTTTTTTTTGGTGGTGGGGAGGTGCGGGATGTAAAGGAGGTGGGAGAGGAGGGAAAGCAGGTGCAGTGAACACAGAGACGGACCTGGCGTGGAAGGTGTGGCAGGAGAACATCGGAGAGTCTCTCTCTCTCTCTCTCTCTCTCTCTCTCTCTCTCTCTCTCTCTCTGAAGGTCCTTTCAGCGATTACAAGGCGATAGCCGCACACAAGCAAGCAAGCAAGCGTGCACAAAGTTGGAACAACTAAAAAGGCAGACTTAGAGCGTACTCACACTACAACTTTATTGGATGTATCTGACCGACAATTGCGGTTTCTCCTGCATGCATCTGACCGCAATTACGTCCACGGATGAGTCAAATAAGTCATAGCGTGAGTATGCCCCCTTCGAGTCTTGCTCCACCAGTCACCACATGCACAAAAAAAGAAAAATTATGGCGGTGTGTCTTTCCACGTTATCAATTCAATTCAATTCGCGGTGTCTTTCCACGTTATCAATTCAATTCAATTCAATTTAATTTAATTCAATAATTTTCAATACAATTCAATTCACAATTCAATTTATTTCAATTCAATTCAATTCAAATATTTTCAACTCTTTCAATTCAATTCAATAAATAGGTCAGGACTTTATATTTTGAAGATCAGAAAAAAAAAAAAAAAAAAAAAAAAAAAGGAAGGGTCAGAGATTACTCGCCTGACACGGACCATGAGTTCACTCACCACTTTGGGCCTCGCTCCGCTACTCTCCACATGCAAAAAAAAAGACAGAAAAAAAAAGGCGGTGTATCTTTCCATGTTCTAGAGGAAGGTTCATTCTCATTTTGCACATGTCGTACGTAGTAGTGGAGCGTGGCCCTTTCAATCGGCGAATAACTCAACCCTGGGAACCTCGACCTTCCAAGACAATAAATATAGGCCTGGCTCCACTAAACACAACGTTCTGGATGAATTTGAACAACTTTCTGGACCCCATGCATTCCAAACGTTAGACTCGGTACGAATGCACGTGGTCCAGAAACCGTCCAAATCCATGGAGAGTATTGCGTAGTGGAGAGCACGGCTCTATGCTTTCACCCCTCACTACAGTACCTGTAAAAAACTTGGGTACGAGCCGTATGAATTATTATTTTATTTTATTTTGGAAAAAAGCTAATTCTTCTAAGCCCAACCAATTCAATTACCTGTCAAATCTGGACAGGACGGCCTTTCAGGCCTCTTTTTTTTTTCTTTTTTTTTTTAATGCATTCATCATTCATTATAGTATTACGGCGAACCCCGTAAGCAGTCAACCGTGTTCAACGACGGAACATGCGTGTGTGCAGACACATCTTTTTTTTTTCTCTTTTTTTTTGTTTTTTTAACACACATCTTTCTCATTACAACAGAGAGAACTAGAGAAACGGATCATTTTTTTTTTTTTCAATCAAAAGTTGGAAAAAAAAATTGTGAATCAGTCATCGTTACGGAGAGAGCGGAAGATTCATGCTCATTTTTGCACATTTGGGACACATCACTCTCGAAACGTGTAAAATGAGAATGAACCTGCCGCTAGAACATGGCCAGATGCACCCGCCACATTTTTGTTTTTTTCACGTTTCGAGAGTGGTGTGCCGACGCCCTTGGTGATTGGTGGAGAGTGAGAGGACCTTACCTTCTTTTTCCCACGACTGACTGCCTAACCATTGACAAGTTCTCTTTCTTCTTTATTCCTTTTTTCTTTTTTCTTTTTTTTTTCTTTTTTCTTTTTTTTTCTTTTTTCTTTTTTTTTCTTTTTTCTTTTTTTTTCCCTTTCTATTTAGTATTTTTATTACTTGATCTTTTTTGGAGTTTAAAGCCACGAGCCGTATGAATGATGTGTGCAAGAAAGACGCAGTCAAAAAAAAAAAAAAAAAAAAAAAAAAGACACAGTCAGACAATCTTTCTCGTTACACAACAGATAGAACCAGAAAGTTCTTTTTTTCTTTTCCGTTTTTCTTAAAAAAACTTCTTGCGCAGGGGCCATGCTAATCTTCTCTGTATCGTTCCAATTTTAACGGATGTCCCAAAGGACGGTTCTATTTAACAATTTTAAATTTTTGGATTAAAATAAAATTCGAAAAGAAGAATTTGTGAATCAGTAGTCGGCAGTCGTTACAAAGAGAGAGGGGAGGAAACTTTTTGCACATTTGGTGAGTTGTGGAGAGTGAGAGGACCTTACCTTCCTTTTCATACGATGGACTGACTGCCCGACCATTTACCACGGTTATTTCTTTTTTTTTCAGTATTCATTACTATTTTTTCTTTCTAAAAAATCATAACAGCTCTGAATTGCGCAATTTTTATCGATACTGCTATGATATTAAACGAAAGGGAAAAAAAAAAAAAAAAAAAAAGAGGAGGGAAGGACAACAGCCGCTGAAGCTTCTCAAAGCTTGCCGCCGCGATAATCCATTGAACAATCCTCAAGCACTCGATCCCGACGTATGTCGGCAACCCCGACGAGCACATAGGGCCTCGCTCCACACTACACACACAACATGAGTACATGTATCTGGAGCTGACAATGGTCCCGATACATTCAAAATGTTAGGTCGGCCCAAATGTATCTGGTGGACAAGTTTCCGTCCAGATACATTTAGAATGTTCTTCAGAGGAGTCAGGTCAATAGTCAGCCAGCCCCGTTTATCGGACGGCGGTGTATATTCGTCGACCTCTCTCACACCACCGAAGGTATACTCACACGAGGACCTATTTTTCCTTTTCTTCTTTTTTTTCCTTTTTTTTTTCCCAGACACGAGGACCTTTTAAACTCAGCTCCGGACGTGATTGCGGCTCGATACACTCAGGTTAGCCGTAATTGCAGTCAGACACACCCAGAAAATTCCTTGTGCGAGTACACACCCTCCGAAACGAGCATCAACGGCAGGGCAGTGAAGCAGGAGCACACCTGAGGAAAATTAGGAGGATACTGTGCTTAGGGACATCCGTGAAAATTAACAAGTGCTTAGGGACATCCGTGAAATTAACAAATGCTTAGGGACATCCGTGAAAATTAACAAGTGCTTAGGGACATCCGTGAAAATTAACAAAGAAAAAAAAAAAAAAACTGGACCGATAAAGAGAGAGGGAAGAAGAGAGACAAGGCGGAAGAAAGAAGGAGAAGGACAAAAGGGGAGGGGGCGAAAGGGAAGGAGCAGAAGAGGAGTAAAAGAGGAAGAAAGGGGCGGAGGAAGAGGAAGGAGGAGGGAAAGAGACCTTCGGGGACATCCATTCAAATTGGAACGATACAGAGAAGATCGATTAATTAGCACGGGCCCTGCGCAAGGATGACACGCATAAATCGAGAAATGGTCCTTTTTTTTTCAAGGGGGAAAAAAAAGGACAGGAAGGAAAAAGAGTGAGAAGGGGGACAGAAGGAAGGAAAGAGGACAGCAAAGCGGGCGGACGAAAAGGCGGAGGCAGGGAAGCAAGAAGAAAGCAGGACAGGGAGGTGGAGGAGGGGGAAAGGCGGGGAAGGCGGGGAAGGCGGGGAAGGCGGGGAAGGCGGGGAAAGCGGGGACGGAAGGAAAAGGAAGGGGGGAAAGGGGAAAGGGGGCGAAGCAGGAGAAGCCAGGAAGGGCAGGAAAAAGGGGGAGGGAGGAAAGGCAGGAAAAAGGGGGAGGGAGGAAGGGCAGGAAAAAGGGGGAGGAAGGAAGGGCGAGGAAGAAGGTATGGAGAGGGGAAAGGAAGAGAGTTAGCAGAAATCCTTCGGCGAGTGCGGAGGTGGAGGGAGCAGGGGGAGGAAGAAGGTATCGAGAGGGGAAAGGGAGAGAAAGGAAAATATCGCCGGGGATGACGAAAAGTGCAAGGACAAAACAGCTGCAGAAAAAAAGGGTTGGCGGAGGGCCAGGCGGAGGGCCAGGGGGCGGAAGAAGGAAGGGTGGGCAGGGGGGACCCGGGGGGGAGGGCGGGGGGAGGAAGAAAGAAAAGGAAGGGTGGGCGGGGGGGGGCGGAGGGGGGGGCAGGAAGGAAGGGTGGATGGAGGGAGCAGGGGGAGGAAGAAGAAAAACCTAGGCGCGTGCCGGTCAGCATCGTCCCGACCGTCGTCACCCGAATAGAACGCCCGCCCATTGTAGCTGTATTCGGTGACAGCCATCATCACCGTCGCCCTTTCGAAAATAAATAACTAAATTTTAATACAGGAAGAGTGTTGCCGGAGGTCGCTCTCCAGTCGGCTATCCCTTATTTAACTGTCATCTGTCTCAATGTAATTCGTCCTCTCGTCCTCCCTACTCCTTTATTAATTTATTTAAAAAAAATTTGGTACTTTTTCTCCTTTCTACTTTTCTTCCTGCACTGCTGCTAGTGCCGCTTCCCTTCCACCCCCTGTCTTTGTCGGTGTCCTCCTCTTCCTCCTTGTCCACCTCCTCTTCCTTCCTTATCTCCTCCTCTTCTCCCTCTTCCTCCTCTTCCTACTACTCTTTCTCCTTTTCTTCCTCCTTTTGCTCTTCCTCCTCCTCGTCCTCCTTTCTTCCTCTTCCTCCCCCCTTTTTGTCGGTTCCCTCTTCCTCCTCTTCCTCCTCTTCCTCCACTTCCTCCTCTTCCTTATCCTACTTTTCCGTCTTTTCCTCCCCGTCTTCGTCTCCTCGTCCTACTCTCTCCTCTTCCTCCTTCGCCCCCTTTTCTTCCTCTTCCTGCTCGTCCTCCACCTCCTCCTCTTCCTCCCCTTCTTCCCCCCGCCCCTTTCATACTCTTCTTCCTTTCCCTCCTTTACCTCCTCTCCCCCCCCTTCCTCT